CATACCAAACAATACACGTCTAAATCATACTAACCAAACAAGCAACTCCGAAGCAAATGGAGGGTACCAACATCTTCCGCTGAGCTGATAGCCTACTTGGAGGGCTCTCGACCTATCTATCAGGACCTACGGGCATGAAACGCAGCATCCCCGGGCAAAAGGGACATCAGTACGAATAATGTACCGAGTATGTAAGGCACATAAATAAGTACATAACAGACATTGAAGAAATATAGAGTAAATGACTCAACCTGTAAGTCTGGATAACTCTGTAAATCATGAAATAATTATAGTGTCATGCATGCGTATGAATGTCATATCGTGCATAGGTACATGTTTCATAACATCATCAGGCCTCTGAGGGCATCCCATCATATCATCTCGGCCACTGTGGGCAAAATCATCAACGTATACCAGCTGATCAAGTGGTGGTGCATATATAACGCCATAACCTTTCCCATATTCCATATACATATATATACGCGTATATAACGCCATCTGGTCATGGGTCAATGTGCATGTATAAATGCATGAAATGCATAAGAAATACGTTAATAAAATCTCTCGATACGTCATAAGACCATTATGCCTCTGATTAATATCATGAAATAAACTTTACCAACTTACATATTTTTTAGACCCGTGAACAAATGATAGAATAATATGACACATGGGGAATCAAGAACATAAGCATCTCTAGTATTTCTATGAATAGAGTCATTTATGGAAGTTATGCATTTGCTCATTTCGTTTGTGGTCGTATAGATCATGCCAAAAAGAAAGAAGGGATAGCCTTAACATACCTGGAGCAGGGAAAATCCGTATAATATTCTTGGAAAAGATTGCACCGTACTCCTTTAGAACCGCAAAATTTTATGTTGCTACGGTTCTAACAATTCGCGTTGGAATTGTTTGGTTGGAAGAATTTCGTTGGAAGCTTTTTTTGATTGAGCTTAGCGTCTGTTCTTGAAACACTTTGAATTAGGAAGAAAGACATATAACTAACTTTGTTATTCTATGTCCAAATGAACCAAATTGTATAAAATGAAACCTAACCTGAATGTCTTTACACGTTAATGTTCTTTTTTACCTTAGATAGTCACCTAAGCTCATATGAATACTTAGTCATATGTATTAATAGTGGCTTACTGCCACGTGGGGGTAGGGGTGGAAAATTTTAAATCTTTATCCATTTATTAGGTAATTAGGTAATGTCCTGTTACCCGGTAATTAACCAATTACCCGCATAATTAAGAATCGTCTCAAATTATTTAAAATACTACTCACTTTTAACAGACCTTATACACCTTACTATCATGGTGATGTGGTACCTTGTATGGTACTAGTCTATAACTATCGAGGATTATAGCTCGGACCGAATTTTATCCCAAATTCGATGAAACTCATTTTCTTCAATTCACTTACCCTCTCACCTTCATGAATTTACTTATCACTTATTTGAAATAGCATGATATTTATAATCCCAAAATAATCTCATTCCCGAAACTTACGTTGATTAACTTATGATGAAACTTTAACGTATGAAAATGCGGGATGTAACGTCTCATTTCCGAGCGTATATCAATTTATTATGGCGTACTTTCACGTACGAAAATATGGGGTGTAACAATTGATTTCCATTCTCCTTATAATTATACTATGAGCTCAAGGCATACATTATGTTCTTCCTAATTCTAGGATACATAATAATTTTTGCAATAAATTATTCTTTTATTAAACACACAAGAACCCAAGCTATTATATTTTCTCCCGTTCGGCAAAAACCCCAATATCTCTTCTCATAGATGGAGTTGGTCTCACCAGTACCCAAAGTAAAACTCTTTTTTTAGTTAAAAACTTTCACCACTAATATAAATTTATCAAGGATAATTTTCACATGGTACATTAAGCAGATTTTAATTACTCAAATAAATAGACTATTTTGTGGATCCTACTTGTTAATCATAATGCTCAATCCATGAATATACATAATTTCACAAGTACAAAGTTATTAAGAATTTTTTATGAGTTCAAATAAACAAACCACTTTAGTGGTAATTATTTATTACTCACAAAATTCTCAATTTACGAGCAAAGATACATGTAGCTCATAAAATTATTTTATTGCATAATATGGACCACAGCTTAAAAGCCATACCAATAATATAAAACTCATACAAAATACCATCATATTTCACTTAAGTACAACCTCCAACCAGAGAACAAAATTTTTCATCGAAAATCCAAGACTAATAATCACTTAAGGCATGAAAACATAAACCAAGATTTGAGAAATTTTTTATGCACAAATATGGTAAATGCACCAATCATTAGTCATCTGGGATATCAAACCAAGGATTTCACTTTCTTACAAAATAATTATATCTTCTTACAATATCAAGTATACTTTGTAAGACCTAGTTAATAAAATCCTACACCTCTATTTGGAATTCAATACAACAACATGTCTATTTACTAATAGCCAACATGTAAACCAATTATATCACAAATATTTAATTATGGAGACCATGGGGAGTCACCTCCATCACCATTGAATTAAAAACGAATTAAAATTATTAAGAAATAATTTTCAAAAAATAGAAAAACATCCAAAAACACAACCCACACGACCTCAAAACGCCGGAAAAAAAAAACATAGTTCACTTCATAGCAGTGAGTTTTTCTCACCGCGTCGTTTCTGATGGAACCACCAAATTTTGGATCAATCGGAGTCCGTCAAGTTCATTGACCTCCGAAAACACCGACAATTTGTTTAAAATCGGGTTTTGCGTTTTTCTAGGGTTTACCAAAAAAATCCAGTTCATCCCAATCAAATGTCAATAAAGAATTAATATCTCATGATTATAAGAATAATCCAAAAATTTACACAGTTAATTCATAAAATAGCAGTGTAATTTTTCAGAAAACAGCATATACATGTAATTCAAAAACGCACATAAAAATGATATTCTTGTTTCATGAAAATCCTAGTTTTCTAATTATATGTGAGTGGGATCTAATACCAATTATTGGATTATTGTAAGCAGTAGAAGCAATTTCAGTATCAAAATCACATGTAATCTAGACAACTAGTATAAACGGAATTTCACGAGTTACCTCTTGAAGAGTGAACAAAGCTCCTCTATCTCGTGAGCCTCTAATTCCACAGTAACTCAATGAAATCTCCATCATCAGCATGATCACGATTCCCGTACATTCCATGATCTTCTACTGTATTACCAAAATAATATTCGAAAATAATAATTTTCTGTGGGCGAAATTTCTAGAAAAAAGGGTTGAAATTTCGGCCATCGTGTTCTTCTTCCTCTAGGTGAAAAACCTTATATATTTATGGCACAAGTTTTAAAGGTTAAAACCATTTCTTTTCCACCAAGAAAATGATCCCTTTATTTTCAATTATTTAGGGACAAAAGGGACCACAGAATTTAATTAACAAGGCTTCCAATTATGGAATTAATTTTGAATTTTTGAAATTAATATCCACCATAATTAGTTACGAATTATTCCACTAAAAATTTATAATTGCGCTACTTATTCAATTTCAAAATTCATACATTAAATCTTATTTAACTCCTCATGTTAAGATTCAGATACTAATTAATTAAATTAAATTACTAGCGATTTAATTTATTCATTATTTCCTTTTGGACTTTCGCTTTACTTATTTCATGTGTCTTATAAAAAATCCACCGGTTGGATTTACACATGAAATCTATAAGCTTTCATAAAGGTGTATTATCAATCTCTAAACCGAGACACGGATTCCATCAGCTAACTATTACCTCGCCAATGTACATTATTTTTATCCAATTTACCAAGCATATTGACCTATGAAAGGATCTCTGTCTTTTAATAAATCAAAACAATAACAATATACACAGCTAATAAAAATTATATCAAGATTAAGAGTATAAGTACATTTAATGGCTAGAGAGTTTATTTTATTAAGTCAGTATAAAATACTTATCTATACTTGGTCCGTTCAATACATACAAAATGTACTAGCACAATAAGTTATAATTAAACTATTCTCATAATCAAGATAAATTATATATAATCTTGTGCCACAATCATCCATGATGGTTTGTCCAATTGCATCATTAGATTGTGAACTCAAACTTTATACTTATAAGAACCGATGATTTAATCTTCTGTGTATAAGCTAAACTCTATACACCAAATCATCTACTACATAACAAAAGACACAAACTAATATATGATCTATTCAAAACATTATTAAAACTGAATAAACAATTATTTCATAATAAATACTATATCTAAACCAAACCATGGTTAATAATATATATCACAACAATTAAATAGTCATATCTCACTGTATTGGACCATTGGTAATTTTAGCACTATATTTAAAGACTATTTCATTTATCTTAGTTAAATTTTTTATCAAAACCACATAAATAAATTAAAAGCAACAAATATTTTTTAAAGAAAAAGAAAAGATTGGTGGGACGGGAAGGAAACTTATAGTCTATTTGGCCATGCTTTTAGAATCAGTTTATTTTAAAAAGTATTTTCCTAAAAAATACTTTTGTAAGAAACAGTTTGTATTTGGTTAATCAATTTGAGAAGCATTTTTAAACAACAATTTGTGTTTGGTCAAACTTTTAAAATGTAATAGTGTGTTTTTCTCAAAAGTGATTTTGCGGATAAGCTATTTTTTTCTACTTCTCAAAAACTATTTATGTTTCTACTAAAAAGTAGTTTTTTCTTTCTAAAAATTTGACCAAATACCTTAACTTTGCGAAAAAAAAATATGTTTGACCAAAAAAAAAAAGCATGATCAAACAAGCAATAGTGACAAATATCTTTTATACAGTTTGCACAGAAAACTTACAGATGTCTTTCTTCTTAATAAATTTCAAAAATTTGGACGTTTCAAACTTTCACTAATAAAAAACATATAAAGTTAGAGAATATATTCATTCTTCACAGCCTTTTTTAGTTTACTTAAGAGGAAAGTAGTTCCAACAAATCAATATTTCAGCACAGAACACCAGCTTCATAGTTCAGTTCATACCCACTTTATTTTCATTCTTTTTCCATTTTAGCCATTTGTAATATTCTCCAAAGAAATGACACCATTCCCACACGATTAAGCAACATATTCAATTCGCCTATTCTTGAAAAACACATTTATGTGGGTAAATTAACATTCTATTTACACTATGGATTGTCAAGAAAACAGAACTTCTAGACTAGTCTTGAGGAGAACTTCCCTTTTGCTTCTTGTCCATACAACTGAAATTGTATAAATAGAAACAAGTAAGTGCACATTGCATCCAATCAAAACATATACACTTTTGTCCCACATTTTTATCTTTTCTTGGCCTTTGTTTTTCAACTTTCAAGATGCAAAAGCAAGAAAACCAAGTAAACCAACCTCCTCCAGGTATGTATTTCTTTCCCCTCAACTCCTCCCCATATAGAGGCAAATCTAAGACGGTTCTATGAGTTCCATTGAATCCATTATTTTCAACCCAAACTATAAAGACGCGTATAAATAACATTTAAAATATACATATATAATAATATCACATTTATTCTGAACAAATTTTAGATTCTGAGTTCACCTATGCTCGTGTTAGACTCACTTTCTTTTTTATTTTTGATTAAAGGCTATCCCACGGAATTTACTCCAAATGACAACAAGAAGAAGATGAAGGGCCGGCCAAGAGGAGAAAGGGGGTTCCTGGAAGGATGGTAAGTTTGTTAAGTCATCAAAATTTCTGCAAATTAAATATGGTTTCAACAGGCAGAGATATAGTTATCTGCTAAGAAAATCAAGTCTACAGAATTCTGTTAACAATTTCTATAATATCCTGAACTTAACTAATCTTGCCTTTGTTTTGTGCAGCCTCTTTGCACTATGCTGTTGCTGGCTATGTGAAGCTTGTTTTGACTAAACGTTTGAAATATAACTCATCTAATGGAATCAACTGGTGTTGGTTTATTCAACTAGCTAGTGATGCAATATGTACTCCTATGTGACATTTTATCGTGTAATCAAAGATGTTTTTAGGGTCTTTATATTGATGCAGCACATATATTTCTTCTGTTGAGCCGAGGGTCTCCCGGAAACAGCCTCTCTATCCTTTCGGAGTAGGGGTAAGGTCTGCGTACATTCTACCCTCCCCAGATCCCACTAGTGAGATTTTACTGGTTATGTTGTTGTTGTTGTTGTTTGTGAGAACTTGGTTGCGCCTAAATATGAAGTGAAGGTTCATTAAGAAAACTAAAATATATCAAGAAAATGAGTAGGAACACATCAGAATCCTCAAAAGTTGGTTTCCAGAGAACTTTCATTACTGTAAAAAGATGGTTTGCGCCCCCACCCCCCACCCCAATATAGTCACATGGGGAACTTTCATGAGAGGTGCAAGCTAATGTAACTGTAGATTGTAAAACAAAAATATAGAGTGCAAAACGCAAAAAGGGAACGTACAATAGCATGAAACTAATTAATAATATTGTTTGCTCAAAAGTTATTACATATCTTGTGAGTGTAAAACAATACAAATAATTACGGGAAAATCATAGCAAATCGTAATAATCCATTGGACTAAATGAAAGAAACGAGAATAAGTGTTCAGAATTAGGGGGAGAAACATTCGAAACTTTTATTGATAATATTTGTTTGGTCTGCCTCTCCATGAAGAGGTTCAGAGCCTTACAATGGTATTTTCTCTTCCCATAAGATGGGTATATTTTTTCCTTCTCTCTCCTCTCTATAGTGGTGAAGAAGCAGCCCCCTTTCTAGGGCTTCCACTCTTAGTATATTTATAGCTGTGGGCTTTGTGAGCTAGCAATAAGTGGCCGTGACCACGTTGGGATCTCGCCTTTATGGTGGCGGATAGGCCATGGCCTTGTCGATCTAGCCGGATGCGGGTTGAACATCGTCAATTCTAAGTGGTCGTACCACTAATTAATCATGAATTAGCTTGAAACGGGATTAGCCTCGTTAATTATCGTGGGGTCGGGTTCTGACCCATACAGTTAGTCCCTCCGCTTATTGAGGTCGGGCCTTGGCCGAGCTCGATGAGCGGATTCCATTGGCTGTATTTCGAGAAATACGGATGGAGATGGCGACTGTTGCTTCGGTCGAGGCCGAATTCTTTTCGGCCATGGCCCTTAACCTTGTAGAGTATTAGTATCCTGTTATTGGGTTGTCAAGTCATTGTTCGATCGAGGTCGAACTCTCCTTTTGGGCGAAGGCACTTGACCTTTTAGCTTACTTCGAGTGGGGTCGAGCTGCATTGTGCTCTGATCCTTACGTTTGCTTTGGAAACATACCCGTCGGCCATGACAGACGGGTCGTATGTCGCGGGGCCGAGGAGAATGAGGGCACGCTTGATACGTGCTCGGCGGTGTCAAGAAAGAAACATTTTTAGGGCACAAGGAGCACTTCCTCGGCATTCATAGGTCGTTATGACCATTTCGAGGGCGGGACGCCGACGGGTGATTTGCAAGGCCGCTTTACGGAGCCTATCATAATGACGCACATTCCTATGGAATTGAACCAGCGTGCGGTTGGTCACGTAGTTAATGGTGGTAGTTGGGATGCATGAGGGCCACTTGTATTGCCTATAAATAAAGGCTGAGGAATTCGTTTTCCATATTCTTATTGCTTGTCTGAGAGAATTTCTGAAGAAGATTTTCTTATTGCTGTTTCACCTTCGTCTTTGTCCCCCGAACTTCGTTTCTTTCTCGTTATTGTATCAACAATGGCAGGCATTTCTTCCCAAAACGTTCTTCCGACGGACCTTCCGGTCAATTCACCGGTGACCGAGAGGCCACTTCCGGCGGTGGGGGTTGCAGAACTGGTGGAAACTGGCGAGGCTCCATCGGTTGACGAGATAGTATCTCTGCCCGGAGCTCCGATGACTGATTTCACCGCCGACGGTGGGGAGGATCAGGTGGATGAAGCCCTATTAATGGGGGAGATTGGGATGTCTCGACTGCGGGGACAGGGGTCATTCCCGGCTATGCTGACGTCATTCTCGCTAGAAGCGAGGAGAGGGTCCACACCGACCGTAGGGGATACTGCGTCTTTTACGCCTACCCCTTCAAGTTAGGGTTTAAGCTCCCGCTCCCAATGTTGGTGGTTGATTTCTGCCGTTATTACGGGGTATGCCCGGGTCAGCTTACTCCTTCTCTTTACAAGTTGTTAGCGATGCTCATCAAATACGCAGAATTGGCTGGTAGGGAGATTACGCTGCAGCATGTGCTTAGCCTCTACGCCCCACAGAGGGTTCGGGGTACCATGATTCGAGCGTGCCCTCGCGGGACGAGGGGCCTGACTGCGAAGCTAGATGATGAGGTTGAGCGTCGCCCTTTCGAGCACTTCTTCTACATCAGGACTGAACACTTAGTGGCGTGCTCTACTGGATTCCCAGAGGCTTGGAATCATGCACGTAAGTTTCTTAGCCATTGAATCCTCTCTCATTTTTTACCTTTCCTTACGTCTTGTGCTCGTAAGCGTTAACTCGTGTCAATTTTGTAGCCGAAAAATCGCCGCCAGCTCCGTTAGCTGGGATTCGCGGATGGGTGGAGGCCGTGCTCCCCCACACAGTGGGGATACGCACATGGGCGTCTTTCTGGGAGAGGCATGGCCGTAGTCCTGTGGCAGGTAAGAAAAAATGACTTCTTCTTCTGTTCCGCTTTGTTTCGACACTTAATTTTGTTTTTCTGTGATCAGGGAGGCACGCCGCGTCAGGGCTCCTCAGTTGGCCTTCCGTCGGCCTGGTGCAATTGCTCGGCTTACTGCAGCGCCGGTGTCGCGCTCAATACCGAGGGCGGCCTCAGTTGAATCTTCAGCGGTTTCTTCTCCATCAAGGACCCGTCTTCCGAATGAGGGGCCATCGGGGGTTGTGCGCCCTAGAGCGGAATCGTCATCAGATAGGGAAGAGGAGAGGCCGTTGATAAGGCGTAGGGTCGCGTTCGCGCCGGCTCCTCTTGTGGTAATTAATTTGGACTCCCCCCCGGCGGACGC